TAAAACCCAATTTATTGATGATCTAACTTGCTTAGGTGTGTGGCCCAATAGAATCACATAATATTAGTAATGWGYTTTTAGRCCCATAAGTTAYAAGTGGTTTCTAGCAAAACATTATAACCATCTAATATTATACGATTGTCAAACCTTGACATTTTAACTTTCTAGAGTAAGTACAAATGATTTCAGGACATTCCCAACAAAATCAACTGTTGCTGATAAAACATCAAGGATGATGGACTTTTGAGGCTCGATGTACTTCATAATCATCGCAGAAATCTGTTCATAGATGTCTTTTGGCTGGCCGTTCACTGGAACTCGAGTTATCCCAGTGTATTATTTTTAGTTGAAATATTATATTAAAAGTATTATTTTTAGTTGACATATATTAGATAGTTGCATATATTTATTCATTTGTTAGTTGAAATATTATATTAAAAGTATTATTTTTTAGAAAAATATAGGGTTTAACTATTATTTTTGGTTTCAAATGAAAATCCGTAAATCTCCGGATATCCGCAAATATCCAGAAAAATCCGGATATCCGAAATTTTCCGAAGCATTAGATATCCGGCAAAAACAAATCGAATCACAAATATATTATTTTTCATGTAATCCGCTCTGCACCCAGACCTCCCATCTACAATCGATATTGTCATTAGATCAACATTCACTTACCGCTTGAACACTTTTATAAAGTACTTAGTTAAAACGCTTGATCAAAAAAAAAAAAAGTACTTAGTTAAAACTTAAAACACTATTTTTCGTGAGCTGCGCAAATGTATTCTATTTCGTTAAGGGTTGAATACATTAGTTTAGATTGATTATTTTTTGGCTTTTTATGTCTACATTAATATATGTGATATTCAGATGAAAAAAAAAAAAAAATGTCTACCCTTAACGAAAAACTTGGAATTCATTTAAAACTGTACCACCACATAACGTGAAGCTCACCGTAACCACACACAAATATTTAATTAAAACATAACATAGCCACGAAAATCCTAAATTCAAAAACACACAAAAGCCCAACTCCAAAGAAAAAAAACACACAGAAAAGGCCCAACTACAAAATAAAAACCCATAAGATAGTCCGACCCGGCTTCACCAAAGCGAGGAAGCAATCAATCAACGGTCTCCGTACCCAGAATTCTGATCAACAATGGCGGCAATAACGTCCTTCGACTCCTTCAGGAGCTTGATGCTGTTCTTCAGCTTCTCCCTCTTGCCCGCAACAGACGGCGACTCCTCCAGCATTCTCTCGATTCCTCCGCCGCCTCTCGGATCCACCATTTCCGCCACGATCTCCTTCTGAAACTGACTGTTGACGAGATTCTTCACGGAGAATTGAAGATACAGCGCAAGGTTGTCCACAATCCTTCGCAGGACGATCGTCCAGTACGATGTGATCCTCATCTTCATATCGAAAGCTTGTTGAAGTAGATGAGCGTGATACTTCCTTAGATGCGAAATCTTCACATCTCCGAATCCAGTCAAATAGAAATTCTCAGGTTTGTCTTCATCGTACAACACAGCATTGATGAAGTTTTGCTGTGAAGCTGTCTTCTGCGTCCAAGATGTCATGTAATCAGGGTTACATGTGTAATCTGTAAGCTTCTCCATCTCGACGATCTCGATTACTCGGTTCACAGATTCTTCCTTAGTGTTGCAGATGAGACTTCTATAGAAGTGCTAGGTCGTTTTAAATGTGCATGTTACAGATAAAGGTGTCATTTTTCATTTTTCGAATCTATTCTTTGCAGGTTTTAACCCAAAAAAAAAAAAAAACATTTAACACTGTGCAAAGGAGGGAGGCAGAACATACCAGCGATCACATCAGTCGCAGCACAAATCGCTTCAGCTATTTGTTCCTCGGCCGTAGTGACAACTTTGTCACCGAACTCAAGCCAGATCTCAGGTTCAGGGCTAGAGCTTCGTTGAAGCCTCATCACAAGAGGAACCCTAGTACAGATTCCTTGTCCACGAGGCAAACTGATTCCTGCTAGAGATTCGAGAACACTTGACTTCCCCGAGGACTGATCTCCAACCACAACAATGGTCGGAAGCTGGATCCCTTCTCTCATCACATTCAGGTTCCTAAGCCTGTCAACAGTGTCAAGCAACGGCCTGATCCGATCATTGTAAGAAGATACGATTGGTGCTTCAATGGGGGCAGCTTTGTTTGCTTCGACAATAGCAAGAGAAGATGAGGCTTTAGAATGAACATGCTTCTTATTAGCTCCCATTTTTTCTTGACACA